CAACAGATAATAGAATCACAGATTTTGAGGTGGAAGGGTCCATCACCTAGGACAACTTCCTCATTTTACAGATGAGGAAACTGAGACTCAGAGAGAAAAGATGACTTGCCCACAGCAACTAGTGAATGGCAGAAGTCAGATTTGAACACAGATCTTCCTGTTTCCAAAGTCATTGCTCACAGTCACCACTATCCATCCAACAAGTCTGAATGTCAGATTTCAGTAATCCTGTGGAGGATCCACGAGGAAGCTGTTGGGAGAGCTTTCGTGATCTCCAGTTGGGCTGGGCAGATTAAACCCCAATGTGCTTCCTCCAGATGTTGGCCCAAAGAGCAAAGTTCCTAAGATTCATGAATGTCCACAGGCTCAAGGCCAATAGTAAGTGTCAGGGCCAGAAATGAAGTCCAGGTCCCTTTGCATTGCATGATACTACTGCTTCAGTAGACTGACCTGCATGCTTCATTGAGAATTAGCCTCCTTCTCAGGTACCTGAGACCAAGAAAAGACACAGAGCAGCCAAGCAAAGAAAGTATTCATGCCAAAAGCATCCAAGCAATTGGAAAGAGACTCAATCCTTTGCCCCTCCTGAATACAAGTGGTGGGTGTATGGAAATGTCATGGGGTCATCCATATTTTTTTAGCCCCAGAACAGAGGGTTCTGTGGAAAAGAACCACCATGAGGAAGAGGCTTCTCAGTCATGGCAGCAATGAAGGGGTTGCCAGGCAAGCATACAGCATCCCTAAGTGAAGCTGGAACTTGCAGAATCCCCAGCAATCTGAAGTTTATAGGATTTTAGGTATAGAACTGGAAGGGACCTTGGGGGCCACTGAATCTAATCCTGGCATCTTCCAGATGAGGAAACTGAGGCAGCCGCCCTGGAGTCAGAAAGACCCAAGTACAAATCTGGCCCCAGACAGTAACTGTGTGATGCAAGGGAAATTACTTAATCACCATTTGCCTTAGTTTCCCCAACTATAAAATGGGAGTAACAATAGCATCTACCTTGCAGGGCTATTACGAGACTCCAATGAGATTATATTTGTAAAGCACTTAGCACAGTGCTTAGCACATAGTAGACATTACACAAATACTTATTCCCTTAAGGTCACGTGCCCTACATCACATAAGTAACACATGGTGAAGTGAAGATCTGAACTGAGGTCTCATGTCTCCAATGGCAATAGTCTTTTTGCTCCCTTCCCCTCCAGTATTCTGTAGGGCATGATAGAAGGCTGGAGACAAGATAGAGACCAAGCATCCAGACAGAGTCAGATGGTACAGGCATTTGGATCCTTCCTCAGACACTGCTATGTGACCCTGAACAAGTCAATTTCTCTGGACCTCAGTTTCCTCATTTGGAAAGTGGAGGCAGGGGGTAAGAAGACACTTCCCTCTTTAACAAAGTCTTCAACTCCTCTCACATGACTGGGACTCTTCCTCCCATGTCCCTGAAGAGATTCAGCCACAACTCCCCCGGCCCCCAAAGTAAGCTCACTTCACCAACTGGTGAAGACAGAAGGAATTCTCCTTACCTAAAAGCTGAGGCATAATTATTCCCTATTTAACAGAGTCAAAATACTAGTAACATCCCTCTTTCAGAAGCTTTTAATAAAACAGTACTATATTATTGTCTTGTTCACCTTAGCTGCTTACAAGGAAACGAGCCCTTGAGAGACATGAGCCGGCATCAGATGTTCCCAGAGAGACTTCTGAGTTGGGGGGAAATGAGCTAGAGTTGCTACTGAGAAGCCTTCCAGATTGAACCCAGTCCCTATGACTCTAAAGCTTCTGGGAGGGGGCGGGGAGGGGAGCAGTGCAGAAGGGAGGGGGCCAGGAAGAGAGAAGTGTAGAACCATTTCATCCTCTTTGGATGTTTCCTTAACAGACAAGAGGGCAAGTCCAAAGGGAAAGGTGTTTGTTTATTAGCTGGAATGGTGTTTGTTGAGTGAAATATGTAACTTCTATCAAGCACCTGCCATGTACGGAGCACTCTTCTAGGCACTAGGAAGACAAAATTCAATGATCCTTTCTCTTGTGAAGCTCACATGTCTAGCAGGAGGAAAAGATGCCAACAAAGCTTGCTATAATACCTAGTACTATAGAAGAACATACAGGTGAGGTTTGGGGGAGGGGGAGGGTAAGAAATCAGGGGAGACTTCCCAAGAGAGGTGACATTTCAATTCATTTCAACTCAATAGGCATTTCTCAGGTATTTTCTAGGTGCTATGAACTGAGCTAGGGACACAAAACACAAAAACAAAGCATCCCTGCCCTCTAGAAACTTAGAGATTCCACAAGTAAAGAAGGCAGGGGGGGAGGATGCCCCATTCAGTGCTGGGATTGCTGACCCTGGCCAACGAAAGACCTACCTCTAGGTATGCCCAGAAGTGAGGGCATGAAGGCAGGCAATAAACTTGGCTACCCATGGCACCCATGTTGCTTCTGCACTTTGTCTATTGACCCCACACATAGGCACATGTCTGATTCCAAGTTACAGCATCAGCTCTCTCCGTGCTGGGGAAAATGGATTCCCTGTGTAGACACTTTCAGACTGGGGAGCAGAGAGTGGTGTCCCAACCATTCAGTTATCTATCTATCCACCTTGTACACCAGGGATAGGGGAGACAAAGAAAGACAACCTTATCTCTTCCTCTCAAGAGGCTCCTATGCAGTTTGATACAAAGAGCAGAACTCTCAGTCGGAGGTTGAATTCCAGTTACGATATTTCATCATAAATAGCATTTATAGACTATTTTTAGGTCTACAAAGTACTTTACATGTTATCTCATTTGGTCTTCAAATTTTGCAGATGGGGAAACTGAGGCTGGGACAGGTTAAATGACTTGCCTAACTAGGGGTCACACAGTTAGTAAGTGGCTGAGGTAAGATTCAAACTTAGGTCTTCCTGGCCCTGAATTCTATCCACTGTACCACCTACCTTCCTTCCAAATGTGTGACCATGAACCAATCACTTCCCATATAGCAGATGAGGAAACAGACTTGGAAGGCCTGATGGTACTCCCACCTACCTATATCATAGGATTTTTGCAATAAAAGTGGAAGTGTTACAGGAGTATAGGATATTAACTTACTTGCTAGTCTGCATCTCAGTTTCCTTATCTATAAAAAGAAATAATTATGCTGGTATTGCCTACCTCACAGGGTTGTGGTGAACTTTGTACACCTTAAAAATGTTACAGGGAGGTTAAGTTATCAGGAAAGAGGATGCCATAGGGTCTGAATTATCCTGTATCCCTGTGCTTACTTTCTGCACCCCCTTCCTCTTCCCCTAACCTTACAGTTACTCCAAAATTTGTCACTATATTCTCCCTGCTTTTATCTATCTACTCTCACTCCTCCCATGTGCCCACTATTTACAATTAATAAAGAGAGATGGGTACCATTGATTCACACAAAATTCTCATATGCTGTGGAATAGGGATCAGCCAATGAGAGAGAACCTAGTTCCACTGGGTCGCCAGACTGATAATGGAAGATGGCCAGGTGCATTGGAAAAGGCGGGAATTCCAAGCCAAGGAAGAAAAGAGCCAGGAGTTACAGATGGCAGAGAAAGAGCTGTGAACAGAAGCCTCACTACCAATCTGAAGAAATCAGGTTGGGCTGAGGGTGCTGGGTGTTTCTCCCCCAATCTTTTTTAACTCACGTGATCCATTTCTGACACTAATCAGAGATTCGGCCCCTTGGGAGCCAGCAATAATGATTAATGGTGTTAAATATAGCCAGAGATTGCTGGGGTAAAATTAGGTGTCATGCATAAAACATCACTGTTCCTCGTTAGATAGTCAAATTAGCACAGCTAATGTGTTTGATGGAGGCTTTGGGGGACCTTGGGCCAGACACTGGGAGGGTCTGGTCATTCCCATAGTCCCTTCATCACATCTCTAGGTGTGTGGCTCCTACCAAGAGCTGGGAAATATTTGTCTTATCATTATTATCTTCATCATCATTATTATAATTGTTATTTCAGTGGCTTGAACAATGACCTCTGATTCGTATTGCCTGTGTGACCCCAGGGAAATCACTTAACATCTCTGTGACTTGGGTTTTCTCATCCTCCATATTAGGTGATTGAACTAGATCACAGATTACAGAGCTCGGAGGGATTAAGAGGCCACGTTTTTTAACTCTAGCATTTTACAAATGCAGAAACCAAGACCAGGAAGTTTCAGTGACTTGCCCAACATGACATATTCCTAATCCTAACTCTCAATAAGTCCCAACGTGACGCAGGCAGCAAGGGACAGGGATGGGATTTGAACCGAATTTCTTCAACTCCAAATACAACAACTTTTCCACTGTACATACTGCCTCATGACCACCTAGAAGCCTTCTGGTTGTTATAATAACAACAACAATAACAATGATAATAATAATAATTCCTTCCTGCTTTCAAGGTTTAACCCAGTTTTCTCACAGCAACCCTGCAGAGAAGGTATTACTAGATAAACATTATTCTCATTTAGTAGATAATTTGTACCATCATACTCAGGTGCCTAAGGAAAGCCAGAAATACCAACACTTTATAGTCATAAGATAGGGCTCTGGCACAGGAACAGATCCTATCAGTTTCCTTAGCCAATGCATCTTCCCCACGTGGAGAATGCTAGGAAGCTTATATTTGGAGAATGATTGCGTGTAAGCTGTGGAAAGACTATGGAGCATGCGTAGATTTTCCATAACTGGTTCTGGTTGACCAATCAGGTAGTGAAGAGGACTTTCTTTGACCTCATAGGCATTCAAAAGAGCCCATCAGCTTCATTTACCTCCCCCTTTGCTTCAGTCATTTCTAAGAAAGTTCAGTCCATTTCATTCACAGCATCCAAGGAGAGTCTAAGGCCACACTGTCCCATTGGTCCTTAGCTTTTCATTTGTTCTCTGTTATAGATAGAGGGAGTGGAAGCACTGTGACCTCATAAGTCTGAGAGGTCCAGAGGGTGCCCTGCTGTCCCAACATTCTAAGTAGGGTTTTATAGCTAGCCCAGCATCAGTGCCTTGAGGAGCAAAGGGACGCTGGACCTGGGCCAGTGGAAGCTTCTAAGGATTCATCATGGCAGTCATACCACAATTAGACATGCATTTGGTGAGACCGATGTTACACAGGAACTGAGCTAAGTGTTGGGCCTACAGCTCCAGAGCAGGGGTGGATGGGTGGATATAGGGCAGAGTATAACCCAGAGAAATTGGGGGAGGATATATACATATTTGTTTTTACTATATCTTTGAATTAAATATCCCTTGGCAGAAGCTGCCCAGTGTTAACTGGTTAAATGTAATTGAGGTGTTGGTCATAGGCCCCTACAATAGAAGGGAACACAGTCAGCACAGGCTTGAGCCAATGACATTAAAGAGACACCTCCACCCCCAGACACTGCCCTGGGACCCAGGAAACCGAGATAGTAGCCCGGCTCAGAGTGAGAGAGCCAGAATACACACGCTAAGAGTTATAGAGCGCCTTATTTTCATTTTGCTTTCTTGACACACCTCAGGAAGGAAATGTATCATCCCCATTTTACAGATGCTACCATGTCCCAGTGACAGCCCTCCAGGCATCCTCAGATCTTTCTCAAGCTACACTCTTCAACTATCCATCAGGTGGCCAAGTCTACACACTTACCTAAGCTCATACAGCTGTGTGGTCATTATCAATAACTTAATTAGAGAGTGGACCTGTGATCTCACTTTACAGGTGTAAACTCTATCCACTATATCACACTGTTTCTCATCTTCAATAATGATGGTGGTTTAAGATTTAGAAAGCACTTTCTTCCAAAGAAATAACCTTGACAAGTAGGCTCTCTTACAGATGAGGAAACTGAGGCTCAAAGAGGGAAAGCATTCTGCACAAGGACACAAAGCTGGACGGTGATGGAGTAAGGATTCAAACCCAGGTCTCTTGACATTTAGCCCAACATTCTTTCCACCAGACTTCATGAGCTTGGGATGTCTGTTCTTTTCACCACCATCTTCCTCCCCTCTCCCCTTTACCTCCCGCAGATTCACAACAGCAAATGAGGTGGGGAGACATAACAGCCACAGCTTGACAGGGAGCAGGCAGGGTGTCAGCCTTCCTTCACCACAAGGTGATCTAAAGCTGAATCTGTGCAATGTCTGAATCGGGTTTTGTTGGTATAAAGTGAACTTCCCTTGGGGCACCCAGCACATGCTATGGTGTGCCACCAAATAGGACCCCAAAACAGATACCACACGATGAGGCCTACCATCATCCTGACCACCTACCTGGTATGAGTTAGCCCGAGGGATAATGACTTCGATAACCAGGCCTCAATAGGCCAGCAGCAGTGTCTGTCTGTGTGTCTGTGTGTGTGTGTGTGTGTGTGTGTGTGTGTGTGTGTGTGTGTGTGTGTGTCTCCCCATCTCTCTCTCTCTCTCCCTCTCTCTCTCTCTCCCCCTCTCTCTCCCTATCTCTCTCATCTCTCCCTCTCCCCTCTCTCTCCCCCTCTCTCTCCCCATCTCTCTCTCTCTCCCCATCTCTCTCTCTCTCCCCATCTCTCTCTCTCCCCATCTCTCTCTCTCTCCCCATCTCTCTCTCTCTCCCCATCTCTCTCTCTCTCCCATCTCTCTCTCTCCCCATCTCTCTCTCTCTCCCCATCTCTCTCTCTCTCTCTCCACATCTCTCTCTCTCTCCCCATCTCTCTCTCTCTCTCTCCATCTCTCTCTCTCTCCATCTCTCTCTCTCTCCATCTCTCTCCATCTCTCCATCTCTCTCCATCTCTCTCTCTCTCTCCATCTCTCTCTCTCTCCATCTCTCTCTCTCTCTCTCTCTCTCTCTCTCCATCTCTCTCTCTCTCTCCATCTCTCTCTCTCTCTCTCTCTCTCTCTCTCTCTCTCTCCATCTCTCTCTCTCTCTCCATCTCTCTCTCTCTCTCTCCATCTCTCTCTCTCTCTCTCCCTCCATCTCTCTCTCTCTCTCTCCATCTCTCTCTCTCTCTCTCTCCATCTCTCTCTCTCTCCATCTCTCTCTCTCTCTCCATCTCTCTCTCTCTCTCCCCATCTCTCTCTCTCTCTCCATCTCTCTCTCTCTCTCTCTCTCTCTCTCTCTCTCCATCTCTCTCCCCCCATCTCTCTCTCATGATATCCTTCATTACTAGACTCTGCTAGTCCCCTCCCTGTTCTGGTCCCAAGGGAACCATATGATTCACTGTATAAAGTGAAATAGCCTTTTAAAGTGACTTCATGGAGAGTCTCCTAAGCAAAAGGGCTCTGACCATACTAAGGAGTGCCGGGAAATACTGGAGACCCCAGTTAGAACCTGACTTCCCATCCCCTCAAAGAGGCTATCCAACCACTATTAGGAGGGTCCAGATTCACAGCCCAGGGAAAACTAGGCTCAGATTGTAGCCAACGTGGATGAGACGATCACAAATTCATAGACTTAGAACCTTAAAGGAACCTTAAAGACTATCAAGTTTACACACACACACACACACACACACACACACACTTTGCAGATTTAAAAAAAAAAAAACTGAGGCCCAGAGATTTGCCCAAGATCACACAGGTAATAATTGGCAGAGCCAGGATTCACACTGGAGTCCTACGACTCCAACACCAGTACTCTTTCCATTATAATACTCCGCCTCTCCCCTGGTGAACAAATAACTCTACAAAGAGATCATAGAATCATAGATTAAGAGAAAAGAACTTAAATGTGTTTGAATCTGAGCCTAATTTTACAGTGAAGGAAACTGAGGCACAGAAAAGTTAAGCCCACGGCCTCACAAAGAGTGTCTGAGGTGTGATTTATACTCCATGCTCTCACTCCAAATCCAGTGGCTTTTTTGTCTATTCTGTGTGGGTAGTAGGCAGGTAGGACAGCCCAGCTTTCTGTGGCTTCTTTAAGCTGGCCCAGAAGCCCCACAGTTCCTTTCTCCTGGAAGGAAGAGCCCAGACTGGAGGGAAGCCAGTATGTCCTGAATACTAATAAGGTTAAGGGGGTGGGGAACAGAAGTGAAATGAGACTGGCTGAGTAAGTCCATCCCTCTTCTGTCAGAAGGGCACCTGTCACCACAGACAGCTGAGCAAGGATATATTAAGGAAACCTTCAAGGGAAGCTGCCTTTCACTTCTACCTTCCTGCCCTGCTTCCCCCCTCCCACTTCCTTCCCGGCCAGGTGTCATATGCATACCTCCAGCAGGAGCCAATCTTAATCAGTGCTTATAAATCTATGCATTCAGCAAACCTCCTGCCTGCCCGCTGTGAGTTCTAGCAAGGGAGGGACCCAGGCCAGGAGCTCCTTCCAATGAAGATGCTAGGAATGGAGCAAGTCCTGGCTAACAGGATGCCCACATGGCTAAGGCTTCCCATGAATCCTTGCTATAGTTCAATAGCTCCCTTTTCATAAGCCATTAAAGATTACAAGAGTTTCCTCACAACTGCCCTACAAAGTTTTACTGATGGGAAAACTGAGATTTGGGGAAGGGAAGTCATGGATCTCAGGTCCCACAACTAACAGATGATAGAATCAGGATACAAACCCAAGGTTCCTGACTCAGAGCAATATAATAGATAACCTAATTTCAAATCCTGTCTCAGACACTTACTAGCTGTGTAACCCTAAGTGACAAATCACTTAGTCTCTCTGAGATGGTTTCCTCATCTATAAAACAAAGATAATATTTGAAGGATCAAATGTGATCATGTACACAAAGAATCCCCCTCCAGGACCATTCCCCCACTTCAAGGATGGGGTCTCTAGCAGGCAGATGCCACTTTTTTTTCACGGTTCTAAAAGTAACCCTAAAGAACTGTCATTCATAAACCCCGACTAGTGTGTTTCCCCCTAGTCAGCCTCTCAGGCATGGAAAACTCACTATCTCCCAAGAGAGCCCATTATACTTTTAGATAGCTCTAATTGTTTAAAAAAAAAATCTGCACAAGGACCCAAAATCTACCACTCTACAGTATTTATCTATTGTTCCTAGCTCTATTATGCCCTCTTGGGCCAAAGAGAAATCGGATACTTCTTCCACATGACTGTCCTTCAAATACATCTGCATCACCCTCCTCCTAGGTCTTCTTCCCTCCAAGCCAAACACTCCCCAATTCCTTCAAATGATCCTCACATGGGTTCCTTCATTACCTTGGTCAATATCCTTTGTATTCTCTCCATCTTGTCAACATTCTTCCCCTTCAAAAAACCTTGCCTAGTACTGAACACAAGACTAGATATGGACTTATCAGATCAGAGTAAAGCAAGATTTTCACCTCCTTAGACCTGAACTCTGCATTTCTCAATGTAGCTAGAGTATGATGGTTTTTGTCTGTCATGTCATACTCTTATTCATGCTGAATGATTAAGTCATTAATATCCCTGGAACTCAATAACATGAACTTGCATGTGTACAATGTGTGTGTGTGTGTGTGTGTGTGTGTGTGTGTGTGTGTGTGTATCAGCCAAAGTGTAAAACCTTACCTTTCTCCCCCAACTAATGAATAAGAGATTGTCTCTGATCTTAAGGAAGCTTGCAATTTAGTAGTAACTCTAGCAAAGAAAAACTCTCCCAGGGACCAGAGGCCTCTACTCTGAGGGAGATGAGGAAAGAGATGACGTGGACGGGGAATGGTCTTGTTGGTTTGTAAAAGACGGGAAAACAGAAGTATTTCAAACCATCGGCTCCTTCTATCTTTCCACCTCCATGGGAAGGGCCTGGCCAATTGGGGGAAGGAGGTGTAATCTCCTGCAAACAAGTCAGCAACACTTCCAGCTGAATTGAAGATAAGAGGTGGTGAGATCAAAAGAGGCATGAGTTTAATAAGAAGAGAGGAGGGTCAATGTGGCATATTGGGAAGGCCAAAGTCCTGGGCTCAGGCATGACCTCACAAACACTCGAATTGCCTGCCTCATACAATTGTTTGAGGAAAGTACATTGTAAACTTAAAAGCATTTTGGGAATGAAAGTTACCAGGATGGTAACAGTCTCCCAGGAGTCCCTCAGGGCTTGTTACAGGTGATGTCAAAGGCCACCTTGGCTTGGTACTCCAAATGAAAAGCCAAGAGGCACAACGACATTCAGACAAGATCACTCAGGTCTTGGTTTTCCTCACTCAGAATAGGGGGAG